AGAGCCTGGAGCCTGTTTCCGATTCTGTGTCTCCCTCTCTCTCTGCCCCTCCCCTGTTCATGCTCTGTCTCTCTCTGTCCCAAAAATAAATAAACGTTGAAAAAAAAATTTAAAAAAAAAATGGGCAGAAGACCTGAATAGATATTTTTCCAAAGAAGACATACAGGTGGCCAACAGACACATGAAAATATGTTCTATATCACTCATTATCAGAAAAATGCAAATCAAAACCACAATGAGGTATTACCCCACACGTATCAGAATGACTACTATCAAAAAGACAAGAAATAACAAGTGCTGGTGAGGATATGGAGAAAAGGGAAACCTATGCACCATTGGTAGGAATGTAAATCGGTGCAGCCACTGTTGACAAAATAGGATGGAGGTTCCTCAATAAATTAAAAACAGAAATATTATAGGATGCAGTAATTTCACTACTGGGTATTTACCCAAAGAAAATGAAAACACTAATTCTGAAAGATATATGTGCCCCTATGTTTACTGCAGCTTTATTTAGAATAAACAAGCTATGGAAGCAACCCAAGTGTTCATCCATACATGAATGGATTAAAAAGATGTGGTGTATACACACACACACACACACACACACACACACACACACACACTGGAATACTACTCAGCTATTAAAAAGAATGAAATCTTGTCATTGTGGCAACACAGATGGACATAAAGGGTATTGCACTAAGTGAAAAAAGTCAGACAGTGATAAATGCCATATGATTTCACTCACATGTGGAATCTAAAAACCAAAGCAAATGAACAAATCAAACAAAATAGAAAGATTCATAAATACAGAAAACATACTGGTGGGGAATGAGCAAAATAGCTGAAAGGGACTAAGAAGTACAATCTTAAAGTTACAAAATAACTAAGTCACCGAAGCAAAGGACAGCAAGAAACAAAGTAATATTTTAAAAATTTTGTATGGTGACAGATAACTACCCTTATCATGGTAAGCATTTCATAATGTATATAAATGTCAAATCATTATGTTGTATACCTGAAACTAACATAATATTGTACACTCTACTTCAATTAAATAATAAAATAAAAATATGCTTTTAAAATTAGAAATGCTTAATGAAGTATATACAGGTCAAACGACAAGTGGTCTTAAACTTTCTTTAAAATATTTTAGCAAATAAGTCATAAGAGAAAAAAAATGAGGGGGGAGAGATCTGTACCATCTGTAGGTTGATCAACAGGGTTGAAGGGAGTCCATTATGCTGTTTCCTCCACTTCTGCGTAACTTTGAAATTTTCCACAGTAAGTTAAAAGAACAGGACAGACATCTCCATACCCATTGCATGGGCCCCAGAATGACAGGCAGGGAAAGGAGAAGGAATTATTTTTGAACTTTCTCCCTTCGTTTGTATCAAAGTCCAAAGTGAAGCATGGACACTAAGGCCAAGACACATCACTGGAAGTATTAGAAACAAGTAGGAGACAGAGATACAAGTTTAGATATGTAAGAAGAGAAAATGTGCTGAACACCAAGAGGACAAATAAACCAGATAACCCTAAGAGACTTTAAGCATCCAAAGATTTCTTAATTGGAGGAAAATCCCCACAGATTCTAAATCATTAATAAAAACTTTAAAGAAAAGATGCTAGAAAAAACTGACAGGAAAATTGAGAGCAGCTATAACGAATTACATTCCCTGTACAGACATGAACACTGTTTTGTGTTTATACAATCTCACCTATGAATAAAAATGGATCAAAATACTAGACCAATGTTTACCGAAGAATGTATGCTAAAACGTTGGCTATGTCGTGGGCAGTGTGATTGTGATTTTCATTTTCTTCTCAGTGCTTTTTTGGACTTTGAATTTCTGTAAGGATCACACACTATTTTGAAAACTCTCTGTTTTCACTTTAAGAAATGTTATTCTAAAAAAAAAATACACATTTTTAAAAAGGAAAGTCAGAAAAGAAATGTGCCAATTTGGTATACAGGAGACTTCGTCATATTCACTAAAGGTGTGTAAAGGTAGGGACCTATAATAAATACAGCAACAAAGCTAAAACGGAAGTACATACACACCTGCTCATCCTGGGCCTACATGGTGTCCCAGGCTTTCCAGTAGCATAGTTATTTCACATTGACAGCCCAATTATTCTTGTTAGGCACCTTGATAACTCTATCTTTCATCTACTGCATTCAAACTTTTGAGATGAAACATATCAAGAATAATTAGCCACTGTCCCCCATAGCCCTATTACTGGTGCATTAGAAATGCAAGTAAAGGGAAAGAAAGGTACCAGATTATCTCATTATTCATCTCTGACACTGACATTAGGCCATTTAATCACGGCCCGTAAGAGATTGACTTTGGTTATTAAATGGGTTACTTGTAGGTTACACTAAAACATGAACAAACTTCAAAAGGAAAAAAAAAGACTTAAAAATTCATTTTTAATGGAGGGAACTGAAATCATTTATGAAAGTTAACAAAGAGGAAAAAAAAATTGTTCCAAGAGATTTAATCAAGTCTCAGAGAGATCGTGCAATAAGATCTCTACATGCCAATCTTGAATTTCTCTAATTTCTCTGAGCTGATAAAAAAGAAGCTTCGATTAAACATTTTCACAATGGAGGGGTGGGTTTGGAGAGTGCAGTGTGGTTCTGGAGGCACACCTTCCCACTGGGCACCTGCAGCATTGGTGGTGACACCATCATGGCTACTGACTTGCCCGTCCCTCCACAGGGAACTCTCGCATCCTGGGAGACAGGGATTATTGTAGAAGACGGTCTGGCCAAAGCAGTGCCAGCTGCCAGAAGCAAGCTCACTGCTAAGCCTTGCTAGTGCCCAACGCTGGCAATGATTTGACACACAAAAGTGCAAAGGAGGGGTGTCACTGATCTGGCCTTTCTAAGAGTAAATTAAGCCCTCTCAGGAACCAAGAAGACTCCTTGAAGCCAGTAAGGTACCATCAGTAAAGTATCACCTGTTTTCCTTTGTCACTTCTTTCAGGTCCCAGTTTTTTTCTTTTTAAGATATATATATATATATATATATATATATGTGTGTATGTATATACATACATATATATATACACATATATATGTATGTATGTGTGTATATATATATATGTATATATATATATATATATATATATATACATATATATATATTTAGTACTCTCTACACCCAATATGGGGCTCAAACTTATAAACCCCAAATCAAGAGTTGCATGCTCTACTGACTGAGCCAGCCAGACACCCTTATGCCTCAGTTTTTAATGTTTCTATCTGCTTAAGTATGTAACTTAATGTCATAAATAGGTTTTTATTTATGTGTATATTTATATGATCATACAAATATGTGTAAATGTGATGGAAATAGGCATTTATGGAAATATTTACTTATTTGTTATTTTAAAATCTAGTAGTCTTCAAAGAACTTTAGCAATCCTTGACATTCCTTCTTGGAAAGAGCCCTGGTTAATATTACAATGCAAAAATATTCTTGGAGGGCAATTTTGCAGGTGTCCTGTTTTAGGAATGTGACATAAGGCTTGGGAGCAATTCCACAAATAAAGTGTGTTACTAACATAATGATGTTAAGTCACTTTGTGTTAACTAAATAGAAGTGACACTACCAAGCATATCGAATAGATACCTTTGACATATTAATAAAAATTTCTTTCTTCCATTTCTATGAATGTTTCTGGCATACAACAGGGGAGACACAGAAGGTTGCACAGGTTTTTTTTTTAGCAGGAAAATTGCTTTTCTGTTGCTTTGGAGATGCAGACAAAGGCTTTGCCTGCAATAATCTGCACTGCAGTTGGTATGTCATCAGAAATATTAAACTCAAATTCAGTCCATGAGTCTAAAGGGAAAGGAGAGTTCTAATTAAGAGCGGAATCCGAGCGCCAGTTGGGGGTGATAGAACAGTGAGGAATACTTGACAGATACCAGGAAGGCCCACTTGGGCAGGCAGATTTGGGAGCTGTCTTTTGCTGCCAAGAATTTAATCTCAACCGCACTTATCAGAAAAGCTTTTCTTTTTCTCCTAAGACAGTCAGCTGGAGTCCTCAGGGCTCCATCTGCTCCTCCTCTGAGTCCCCAGCAACGGAGAGATTTTCGTTTACTAAATCAAATTGCAAAAAAACCCTTTTTTTCTTATGTAATATTGTGAAGGGAAGTATTAATTTACAAAGTGAATACTGGGGTTCAAAGCCATTAACTTAAAAATGATTTTATACCGAAAGACAGAAGGGAAATTGGTTAATGTAGACAAGAACTAGTGGAGAGGGAAAGTGATAACCTGTCTTGGGCAACAAATTCGATCACTGGGCCTTGGCTGCCAACTGTGCTGACCTCTGATCATGGCTGGGCACACAGCTAAGCCCTATGTAAGTAGGAGTAGAAAGTAGTGTTGAGACTTCAGGCTGATTCAGCAGGGAGGGAGCCTGGGGTAACGGAGGACAGGTGGTCTATAAACAGCAGACGGTCTTAGAAAAGTCTATTTATAAGACAGGGAGATTAGGGAAACAATTTGCCTGCTTTGAAAGCGAGTGGCAGATGCACACGATGGGGCCTCCTTTTCCAGCATGCGACAGCTTCATGACAAATGGTACCTCTGACTAGAGTGACATTGACACTCCTTCACCAGATGCAAGACTGTAGAAAAACAAGGGACAAGGCCCAAGTCTGAGAAAAGCTGCTTTTCTACTGCTGGAAAAAGCTTTGATAAAGACAGCACATATATTACTAAAACCCAAGTGACAAATAACTCCCCGGAAAGTGTTTCAGAATTTTCCAGTTCCCTGAAACAAACATTAACTGCTGTAAGTCAGGTTTGTCACCAGGAAATATTGCAGTATGTTTTCCCTCAGGTGTTAAGCTTTCTGTGTGAATTCCCTCTGAGTTTGAAGATGAAAGAAATCTCCCTAGAAAATGAAAACTAGTGACCTTTACTGGAGCGAGATAATCAGCAGGATGCTGCAAGACCTCAGCACCTTCTTACCTTGTGGTGGCTATCTTTTCTCCCTTTTTCCAGTCCCAAAACACAATACTGTGAAAATCGTCTAAACCAACCGACACCAGACATTTTCCATCAGCTGTATGAAAACAACACAAATGTCAAGTGACTCATTTCTTCGATGAAACACCAAAACATTTCATTCACTGTAATGATGAATACAAAATTGATCTTAAGAATATTATTTAGGCTCCAATACATTAGAAGTATCATATGCTGAAGGGACCTCACTGAATGAAATGTGTAACAGTGATAGCTGAGCTTCTTAATGTACAACAACTGGTTGATGAATTAAATCACTGATCTAACATTCCAGTGTCAGACACGGAGCCGGGAGAAGCCTCTCAGTTATATCTCAAAAACTTTGTCTATTTTATGACAAATCTCATGACATTTATTCAAAGAACCATTTGGCTTTGTGACTATATTTTCAGCTTAAAAAAACTGGGTTCTATTTAAACCTCCAAGATAAGAGCATTTGTAGAAAATAAATTTAATCTCAAAAATTCTTTCACAAGATGATTTTATAATTAAAAAATCCTAACCTCTTTATTTCCCTATTTTAAATGTAGTAGGCTTGTTATAGGACACTTAGAAAATATAGATAAAGGAAATTTATAAATCACCTCAATTTATAGGCCTACCTTTGGTGTATTTCCTGTCATTTTCTCTACATAAATGTGCTTTTGAAAAACAAAACCAGGATGATAATGAACATCCTATTTTCTGATCTTTTTTCAATTGTTATATAGTGAACATTTTCCCTTAGTATTAAATATTATTTATAAGATTACCAATGGTTACTATAATGTAGACACTTGGGTTGTTTTCCAAGAAAAAAAACTTACTTCCAAGAAAAAAAAATTGTACTTTGTATGTACAATTAAATTTGACAACCAAAATTGTTAACTTGCTTTTTCCCTTCAAGACCAAAGAAGCCGTGCAGTCAGTCTTTCCTTTGCTGCCTCCTCACAAGCCAGATTCATAGGAGGAGTATATGGAGTCAGCGATTCTACCCTAGCTTCGTGCTGGTTAGGATATAGGTGACCAGACTCAACACGTATCAGTTGAACAGAGTGTCTTCCTGGTCTACGGAGGACCCACAATATGAGAGGATAAAGAAACACAAGTATGTGATCAACTATTTCCAAGTCTGGGGTCAATGCCACATTAGAGTTGCCAGGTAAAATAAAGGAAGCCTACTTAAACTGTAATTTCAGATAAGTAATGAGTAATTTCTTATTGTAGGTCCACATAATATTTAAATTATGTATTTACACTTATATGGCCTGAGACATACTTTGTATTAAAATTTATTTGACTTCCTGTATTTCTATTTGCTACATCTGGCAACGCTCCCCAAATGCTAGCCAATGCCCAAACTGTGAGTGCCCTTACTGGGGCCAGACACTATTCCCCAAGCTACCGGGAACCATGGTCTGCTCCTTCTCCAAAGGAGCAGAGTCAGAGGAAGGAAGAGCCTGGCTTCACTAACAGATCCTCCTCAATCCTGGACTGCTGGTAAGTATGAGGCAAGGATTTGGAAGTTACATGAACCATTTCAAGCTACTAGGCTCAGTATTAGAAGAGACATTTCATGCTTTCCACAAGTCCTAAATGATCATCAGGTGATTACTATAAACAAATGTGTCTTCTGAATCACAATGAACGATATGTCCTTACGCTGAACCGTTATCAGGCTTTAAATTGTGTGAGGTTTCTTTTTTCTTTTCTTTTTTTTTTTTTTTTTAACAGAGTTGGGGGTCAAATTCATTACCCTGAGATCAAGACCTGACTGAGCTCAAGAGTTGGACCCTTAACCAACTGAGTCACCCTGGTGTCCTCAAGGCCTCTTTTCTATACGTTTGGGAGAGGGGACTGGTAATGGCTTCCTATTCATTACCAATATTACTCACTCTTTCCATACCTTTTGGGATGGCCTGGTTGTGCTTCTGTATTAGCATGCTTCTGTATTTTTGTGATTTGATTGACAGATTGGAGCTTCCTCTCTCTGTTTTTAGATTATAAGCTCTGCTAAGGCTTATAGTAATCATATCACATTTCCTCTGTGATCCTCCCACTAAGCTAGTTTCCAAAGAGCGTGGAGGAGATTGGTGACACTGAGGATGACGAGGGAGATAAAGATACAATGTGTGTACGGATGCTATGAAGGGAAAGAAATGTGCTATGTTATCTAGCTATACAAATTTTAATTGTTTTAATGATCAGTTCTTTAAAAAACATGGCACTGGTATTCAGTGTCTTTTTTCCATTTATTAAGTCTACCTTTTGTGTTTTCCTTTGTAACCTGTGTAGCTCTATTAATATGTCCTTAGATGGCAAGCATCCACACATTTAAAATGGCAGTTCAAGTTTTATGTCTTTTAAAGAAGTTCTCAGGGTACATTAATTTTTTTGGCTTTTTATTGGAATTTCTGCAAGGCCCCATCAGCTCGTCTTCACAATTATACAGCTTTCTACCCCAGTCTGTGACTATGAGGAGAAACAAAGAAATAGCACACATCCAGGGGCGCCTCTACAATCACACCTCTTCTTTAAGATAGTGACCTTTTCTAAAATTCTGCAGGTGGAGGCTATTTCTGCCTGGTTTGGGAATAGAATTGGCTACATTTTTATTTTTTCCCACTTTTCACACCCCAACCCTCCCCCCAAAGAGACTTGGCTTTAGCTTTGAAAATCCATTGTTCCTTGACCAGTTGGAGGTTTTGGGGTTTTTTTTTGCCATGTTTTTAGAGTCGAGGTAATGTCCTTTTAAATCTTTCCAGTCACAGTATGTATTAATTATGGATAGTGACAAAGTCCAGAAATAATTCTAAGGTACTTAATGTCAATAGTAAGGGGCATATTAGAAAGAGAGAATTTCTACCCAATTACAAGTTGGTCCTTGCATTCAGGGCTCATAAAAAATGCATAGATTTTCAGAATTGAACACAGTGAAATCCAGTTCGTCTTAGAGGTGTCCTTGGGGAAATCAGTATTATTCAGTGAAGATTTTAAAAAATATGAGGATAATATTAAACTAAAAAAGATTTATGTGGCTGAAACTTTCTGTTTCTACTCTGGTTTTCTATTCATGTGGAAGCACCTTCTATCTTGTAAGCACAAAAACAAAGATGGGCCCATTTTCCCTAGACAATGCTAATACGTTCACAAAGCTAAGGAGTCACTCAATTAAGTGAGATAATGTAAATTCATTCATTCCTGTTCACAGAGAGTTATGGATTATATTGTAAGAAATGCTTTTCATTAAAAATGTCTTTGCATTTGCTGTGGAACAGTGGCAAGTATAGATTAATCTAAACCCCAATGTACAATTGCTTATTTGTTGTCTATTTTTCACATCATTTGCCTGTTTTGTATTTCCATGATAATTTCTTTTTCTAATAAGGGGCAAATGTACTATCAGGTCTCCACAGAACCTCCTCAAACGAGCTGACTTATAAGAGATGGCTGGATATGGGGTCCAGGATACACAGATGGTGCCACCAGCTAGGTAATGACCAATGTTGGTGCCCTGTTCACATGGTTAAGTAGGGAAATCTTAATAATCTCCTGTTTTGACTACTCACTTTTCTATCACTTTTCAAAAGAAAGGTAGAGCTGCTCCTGTTCCAATTCACATACATGTGTGATCTGAGGTTGTTCTAGGACAAGACTCTCTTTTCACTGGGGGATGTTCATGTGGAAGCCTCTCTGTACCACGTGTCCATTCCACCTTTACACTGGTGAATGGGGGTGGGGCAGGTGGAGACACGTGCCTTTGGGCGGAGTCGGTGACACTGAGGGCTCCAGGGCACAGCTTCTGCCAGCTCACAACCCCAGGCTTAGTGGCCTTTTCCCTGCACTGAGGCCAGGAGATGTGGGTTCTAGCTCAGGATCTGCCACGGTTTGACTTTTACCACAGCCAAACCACCAAACTCTGTGGATCTCCCATTCTTGGCTGGTAAGGTGATATAGGGCTTCCAGTACATCGTTGCTGAAGAAATATGGCTCACCCTCCCCCCCCCCAACCACCCCAGTCATTGTTATCTGGGCAACAGAGACTATATTGTTGAGACTGAAATATCCTTTTTATGCAGAGAATATTTGTATCACAATATTCCTTTATTTGCCCAAAATGGGAATTAGAAGCAATGACAGAATCAGCTTCTCAACCTCTTTCTAAAACATCTGGTTTCTCTCCCCAGGCAACTGGTGTGAGGGGCTACCTTATGAGGGAAAGATTTCAAAGTTCACTTAACTCTCTCGATCTTTCCTTCTACAAACTACTAGGTATGGTAGAGAGAGAACTTCCTGGAAATACAGAGGTCAAGTTACTGGGTACCAGTGTATCTGTATTCAATGTCTTTGATCCTCTAATGCCATCCCTAAAAGGTATGTAAGTAACCTTTTGATGTATCTAAATGTAAAAACCAAGAAATTAATTTTACAGAGAAAAGATTCTAATGATTATTAAATTCTATTTATATTATTCTAAATTTCCTGCCCCTCTGTTTATATGTTAATTTACATACACACATTTTCAGTGGAAATCAGTGAATAGATGCTATTTTGAGTTCTATTTTTCTCTTTCACTTAACTTGATACATAGAAGTATGTATGAAATACACACAGTCAACATACTTGTCATTTTGAATTACAGCTTTTATTATATACTGTCAAATTGTCTGCTGGAGTTACTGAGTCAATTTTTAATGTCTCCAAAAATATGAATACTGTATATTAGGTTCTCCATAATTTAGTGCACAATTAGGTTTTATTATTTTATTTAGTTTTGCTACTTTAATGGGTGTCTTACTACTTTTTCAGAGTACATTTATTAATATAATTTTTATATTAAGTATACACATATGTATTGGCTAGCAAAGTTAATTTTAGGAAAAGGGAGGTCTGGCTATTGAGGGAAAAAAGCAGAAGAAATTCACTCACATCCTTAGAAGAGAACCATGTTTGAACTCAAATTATGATTTCCTTTTAGATTTTACTGCTTTATCAAGGATGTATGACACTTCCAGTTTAAAACTGTATGTCCATCAAACTTCTGGAAGTTTAGGACTTTGTATTTGCTGTGACTTGGTGTGTTATCTGGGCTTCCCACTGTTCTCGCTTCCTCGGTATTCACATGCTTTCTCGACCTCACATGCCTGCCAGTGTGGAGTAGGAACTCTTTAGCCTTAAGTTTTACTGGTTCAATAACCACAGAGAGTATTGAGCAACTTCTAATATGATGTAACAATTCAGATTTCTACAGCGGTTTACAGTATGTGAGGATGTGCATGTCACAAAAATATTGCCCCAAACCGTTCCATGTTGCTATAGGTGAAAAAATAAAGTTAATTTTCACCCCAACACAGTTTACAATGTCAAGTACCAGTAGTAATAGTGAAAGGCAAGACAAAGTATATTAGGCAAAGCTCCATTCATGCCTTCACATTTTTGGAAGAGCTTCTGTGTCCATAGCACTACAATATGTGCAGTGGGGAAGAGAGACATGGGCTCTACTGCCCAAGTAGCTTATTGAATGAGAAACATTGACCCAGACAGCTACTGTACCACATGGACTCCAACAGGTAGCATGAGAGCAATGACAACAATGGGCTAAGAGATGTAGAAGAAGGGACAAGGTTATTTCTCCCTGGAAGGCTGTAGGAGAAACTTTCAGCTTGGTCTTAAAGGATGGTAGAACTTGAACAGACACATGGCAGCAGCATGAACAAAGGGACACGGGCAAAAAAAAGGACAGTCCTGCATTTAGGGAGATGTAAAGGAACACGAATGGGTAAGTGGGTAGAAACACTGCTAAGGAAGGTTGAAGCCAGATCATGGAAGGTCATGAATGTCCAACCAAGGGCTCGGCCCTGAGTCAGTCAACTGACATGAGTCTACAGAGGGGCAATGTAACTGTGCTTCCAGAAGATTCCAGAACTGGGTAGGATGGACCAGAGAACATGGGAATGGAATCAAAGACCAATATGGCAGAGATGAGAGGGAGTCTGGGCTTGAGCAAGGAGACTAGAGTGAGGGATGTAGGAAAGAGAATGCGGTTGTGGAGTCATGGAATTTAATGACTACCATTACACACACTGCACATATTAAACATTTGAATGGGATTTAGAAATAAAGAAATTACAGTATCAGTTTTCAGTAAAAAGTTTATACTTTTTTTCTACCAATCTAACTTCTACTATTGGGATTAAAAATTCTAGGTAAAACCACCTTCTGTAACAGACCCTTATTCTCCTTTCTAGCTTAAAGATACGGCCTCACCCTAAAGAAAATTACATTCAGGGGCGCCTGGGTGACGCAGTCGGTTAAGTGTCCGACTTCAGCCAGGTCACGATCTTGCGGTCCGTGAGTTCGAGCCCCACGTCAGGCTCTGGGCTGATGGCTCAGAGCCTGGAGCCTGTTTCCGATTCTCTGTCTCCCTCTCTCTCTGACCCTCACCCGTTCATGCTCTGTCTCTCCCTGTCCCAAAAATAAATAAACGTTGAAAAAAAAAATAAAAAAAAAAAAAAAGAAAATTACATTCATCAGCTAGTATTCTACTAGCACTGTGTTCAAATTCTAAATTAAAGAGATGGAAAAGTTCTAGTTTTCAAATATGAAATTTATTTTCAAAACACGAGTGTTGTCAAGTGGCCTTTTGCAGAGAATTTGCAGCCCTCCCTCTAGTTCTTTATATTTTAAATTGCAAGTGCTGTGCTCCCACCTCTTTGGAGAGATGAAATTGATGTTCTGAGTCACTGCCAGACGTTTGCAACTAAAACTATCTACAGCAACAGCTGCTCTGGATTTCAAATTGCTCAAGCAAATGCAGAACACAGTGTGAGCTCTGGGTAATGACTTGGGAGAGAGGAAATGAACAAGACTGGGAAAGGCCTTTTGTATAATCCAAAGGCCACATATTTTTTTTGTGAGGTATTCACATATCTGATTTCCAGTCTAAGAATGGGTAGCTAACATACAAAGGGCTTACTTACCTTATTACAAATAGAACTCAACTAAATAGGAGGTTGTAAAACAAAACAAAACAAAACAAAACAAAACCCAGCCCTAAGTAAAGCAGAACCATCAGTGACTTCAGCAGAAAACTGGTGCTTACCTGAAAAATCAAGTGCACACACTCCTCTCTGGTGTTGTCCTTTCAATAGTGACAAACATTTTAGAGTTTGTGTGTCCCACACATGAATAGCAGCATCTCTTCCAACCTTAAATAATAGGATGAGTGTAATTAACCACTTATAAATCATAACAAGAATGATGCCTTAGAATCACTTTCAGAGTTCCTTAAAGTCAAGTGCTGCCCAGACATCCACACATTTGGGGAGCAGGAAGACACTTGGAAATCATTGTTTTCAGGATGATAAAACTGAGGTACAAAGAGTCTAAGAGGCTTGTTCTGGGCATCAAATTGGGGGCCAGCCCAGCCTAACCTGGTACATGGCTCCCAGGCAAGCTACTTTAAAACTGCAAGTCAAACGTCCACTGTGCTTTCTGTATGAGTTCTAGATTTTTCTCTCCTGCCTTTCCAATTCCGCATAAGATTCCACTTCCTGGTCAAGCAAGTCACCTGTGTGTTGTTACAGCAATATCTTCAGAGTTCTTTCACCATCTCAAATATCTTCCTCATCCCAAGAAGGCCTGGCTCTGCTTTTCCTCCCAGGAAATGACAGTTTCATGGCCTACCTGTTGGTAGGATGGATTCTCCTTGAGGGAATACAAGCTTCTCTGACACTAATCCCCAACAACAAAATTTTAATAAAGTGGTTTTCCTCACTTAATTGTAAGGGAAAGAAGAACCTTGTTGGGTGTAGTGACTATAAACGGGAAAATGGGACATAAAACAATGCACATAACTGGGCAGAATCCAGCCAACTGCCTCACTGGTGTCTGGAGCCCCAGTTACCCCTGGAATGGCTACTGGTGCACTGGTTTGTCAATGGTCTGCCTCACACCAATTACAGTATAGAATGTGGTGTATTAAGTATACACACATGCACTGGCTAGCAAAGTTAGCCAATATATCGGTTAAAATATAAAATAATGATTTAGGCAAAATGCATGACTTTAAGTTTTATAAAAATAACTATTCACTAGATGTTATACTAGCACTAAAAGATGGTTCATTCAATAAACACTCACTGGTTACCTAGGATATACGAAGTACTGGGTATACAGTGATGAGGAAAATATATTAAGACTGCATCCATGGAACTTACTTTAGTTTTAGCTAATCCTATTTATGGATCTCATGTCAGAAGGAAATCTCTCAGAGGCTTCCCAACAGTGCTGTGTAATGTACTGGTTAATTCTTCTACTATCATGAAATGACGCAGCATTTACTGAATCCTCAGCTTATTGCCTCTTGTTTGTTTCTACCAAGTATTTCTTGAACTAGTATGTAAAGTGGACTCAAAATGAAATCCTCTTGGGCTAGACCACCATCCTAGAGGAGAACTACACACCTGCCCGGTGGCCACGTAGTCTTTCACTGGATGGATGGTCAGGCTGAGAATGTCATCATCGTGCCCCAGGTACAGCCTCTGGGAGTGTTGCTGCCTGTTGTACACAACAGCAACTGCAGCAATGTGATAGACCACTTCTCCGGTCTGCGTGTAGAACAGATTGTTTCTACAGTCGTAGCCCCTGTAACTGAAGCACAGGTGCAAGACATGCATGGTAGTTGAATGAACAGTGAACGAACAGAGCAGGAGAGGTCAGGAGGTAAACCTAACATGTTGATATGGACATGCACAAGGAGAATCCCAGGGATCTCCATAGCTGCCTAGGACAGTCGTCTTCAACACTGGTGTGAGGGCGTCTGAGGACATGTGGCAACTCTCTAACAGGGCTAATGTGTGCTGATAATTTTAACAGAACTTGTTTCTAGATCCTCAACTACTGTATGTGCTCTTTTTTTTTTTTTTTTAATGTTTGTTTATTTTTGACAGAGCGAGAGAGAGAGACAGAGCATATTGGGGAGGGGCAGAGAGAGAGGGAAACGCAGAATCTGAAGCAGGCTCCAGGCTCTGAGCTGTCAGCACTTAGCCCCACGCGGGGCTCAAACTCACAGACCATGTGATCATGACCTGAGCCCAAGTCGGACGTTCAACCGACTGAGCCACCCAGGTGGCCCTGTATGTGCTCTTTCTTAAAACTGACCAGTCTGAGAACACATCTACGATGGGGAGGTTTCCCTTCTCACCTCCCCTTTCTCAATCACCTTCCTCTCATGTTAGAAAGTCATTCCTCTTGTCCACCTGGACTTTCACTGTGGTGTATTACCCTGGGGCATCGAACCATCCAGGGACACCAAAACAAACTCAAGTGTGGATGTTGAAAGTGAATAATTCCAACAACTAGGTATGAAATTCTTCTGTAAGTCAAGTCATTTCCAATTCTTTGCTTTTAACAAAATTGAAGAGTGATTTGATTGAATTGACAGGTGGCAGATTAAACTATATTATTGTGTGATATATCAAAATCATGAAATAGATCATCTGTATTGCAAGAAAAATTAAAGAATTGAGTAACATTGCTATGATAAAGTTGCTTCCATTCTCTTTTACTTATTCATGTAAATAAACTCTCTCTGTGCTTGTAACTGTTAAAAAATGAAAAATGGGAATAGAACCAATGCTAAACTGTCACAATCTAGCAATAATACACACACACACACACACACACACACACACACACACACGCATGCATATCTGAATTCAGTGAAAAAAATCTTAATTTTTTTCCAATAAAATTTTTTATATTTAGTAACTACTTATTAGAATCTGTACTATATTTATGTTGGTCTGATAAACTTTGTAATACTAATAGTTGTAACAAGAATTCAATCCAGAAAAAAATTAACAATCATAGCAGCAATGTTCAATAGAAATATTATGCAAATATATGGGTGTGGGTAAGTGAAAACTTTCTATTGTCATATTAAAAAAAGATAAAGACAAACAGATGAAAAATGTTAAGAACTTTTAACCCATTATGTCTAAAATATTATCATGCAATCAATAGAAAACATTTAATGAAATCTCTTTCTTTCTTTTTTCATGCTAAGTCTTCGAAATCCAGTGTGCATTTTACATGTACAACACGTGTGCATTGAGACTAGCCACATTTCAAGCACTCAGTGGCTTTCAGTGGCTAGTGGGTACCATACTAGATAACACGAGTTAGAGACTTAGGATGGCAGGGAATTAAATTTAAACTGCACTTACATACATTTCTTCCCTCGCAGAAGGTATGATAGGGTGATCAACAAAAGGCTTTCAAGCATAAAAATATTACATTAGTGTAATATTCATGTAATATTCTATGGGAGAAGTGGAACAGAAATATAAGCTCATGTATTTTTAAAATTGATGATGGTGAGAAACAAATATGAATGACATTTAGGTTCCAACTGATCCACGTAAATGAATGATGTATTAATAAAACACTAGATGTTATATTCTTCACAATCATTTAACCTTATGTTGAAAAAAATTTTTTTTTATTTTTTTAATGTTTATTTATTTTTGAAGGGGAGAGAGACAGAGAGAGAGAGCATGAGCCAGGAAGGGGCAAAGAGGGAGACACAGAATCCAAAGCAAGCTCTGAGCTGTCAGCACTGAACCCAATGTGGGGCTTAAACTTATGAACTGTGAGATCATGACCTGGGCTGGAGTTGGGACAGTCAACCAACTGAGCCATGCAGGCACCCCCAAAAATTTTAGATGTCAACCTCAAGGGTGATAGGTTGTGTATGATATGATTTTCAAAATTCAAAATTATTTTGGCCATATGTGAGCAAAATTGTTTAAAGGAAATACTGTCAGAGTGGAGCCAACTAAATAGAACAGGAGATATGGGGATAATGGGAGCAGCAATGGCAGAGACAATGGAGCATGATAACAATGGGCCACAGAAACATACCCATCATGGAAGTCACTGAAGCAGGAAACATCTAGATACACACACTGTTATGGCCAGAGAACATCAACTAAGAGTACTGGACAGATAATCATGGTTAAAATATCAAGTTCAGGTAAGTACACACTGGAGAGAAGAGCCAGCCTGAAGTGGGTCAGCACCAAGAAGAGAGGACCCCACTGCTCTGCTGATAAGGCTGGTGACAGGCACCCACCCGTGTATGAACTGGAGTTTCAAGCTGTCCTCAGGAGCCTTTTCTCTTTTGAGGAAGGGCACTGCATGGTTTTTCTCTTTACTTTGTTGCTTTAGCTGAGGTAGATCTTCTTTGTAAACCTTAAAGCATAGCAGAAAACATTTAATTGAGACTCTTCAGGTTTCAAAATTATTAGTATCTTGGCATTCTCAGGAGGTCTTTAACTGTAGGAAATCAAGTTTTTGAGAACATGAGAAGCTAAAAATGGTCACAAGAGACAAAGTAGGTCATTATATAATGATAAAGGGGTCAAATTCATCAAGAAGATATAAGAGTTTTAAATATGCACCCAACATCAGAGCACCTAAATACATACAGCACATACTAACAGAACTAAAAGGAGAAATAAACATCAATGTGTAATAGTCGGGAAGAGTCACTCTGAATAATGGATAGATGATCCAGACAAAGAATCAATAAGGAAACAGCAGATGAAGAACACTGCAGACCAAGTAACCTAGCAGACATAACCAGAACATTCCATGTCTCAGTAGCAACATACACATTCTTCTCAGGATGCCTCATATGTTAGGCCACAAAACATGTCTCAATAAATTGAAAAATATAGAAATCATATCAAGTATATTTTCTGGACACTGTGGTATGAAAGTAAGATCAGTAACAGGAAGAAAGCTGGAAAATTCTTAAGTATGTGGAAATTAAACCACACACTTTTGAACAACCAGTGGATCAAAGAACATAGAAACATAGAAAATATCTTGAAACAAAAGAAAATGGAAACAATGTAACAAAACTTATGCGATACAGCAAAAGCAGTTCCAAGAGCAAAGTGTGTAGCTATATAAACATACATTAAGGAAAAAAAACCTCTCTGATAAACAACGGAACAATGTACCTCAAGGAACAAGAAAAAGAATACATTAAACCCAAAGTTACCAGAAGGAAGGAAATAATAAACATTAGAGTAGAGGGGTGCCTGGGTGGCTCAGTCAGTTTAGTGACGACTTCGGCTCAGGTCATGATCTCATTCATGGCTTGTGGGTTTGAGCCCAGCATTGGGCTCTGTGCTGACAGCTCAGATCCTGGAGCCTCTTCAGATTCTGTGTCTCCCTCTCTCTCTGGCCCTCCCCAACTTGCAATCTGTCCTATCTCTCAAAAAATAAATAAACATCAAAAAAATTTTTTTAAACCATTAGAAATAAATGAAATAGACAATAGAAAACAGACAATAGAAAAGACAAACAAGAGTGGCTTCTTTGAAAAGATAAACCGAACTGAATACCTAAGACATGAGACTGCATTTTACTTCCTAATGAACAAAACTAACTTGAAATATCTTTTAAATCACTGGGGTTCAAGATTTTAAGTTTAAATAATACATATTCAGAAAATATGGTATTAATTTTCTGGTAAATAAGAAAGGAAATTATTTGATAAAATCATCAATAAAAATCAATAAAATATTTTGTTATAATTTTTTTCTAAGGTGAGAAATCTCTTGATGATTCATTTGCAAAACACAGACCTCATGAATCATGGTGATTACTCTCCGGAATTATCTTCAGTCATAATCTTATGCATCTTGACAGATTAGACTCTGAGATTTAGAGCAAAGTTTGGCCTAACCTAGCACCTAAAATGTGCTGCTGATTCAGAGAACATTTTCTACAATTTAAATGTAGATAAAAAATTAGTCTGTTTTGCTACCATGTATATATGCCCTACTATCAACAGATATCAATTTAACACATTCAAAATGAAGTACAATCTATTAGTAATTGCTCATCTTCATAGGGAAAATTTTCATTTGATAAAGCTATGTAACTAGAAAGATGATATATTATAATTAAGTCTGTTTTAGATTTAATAAAAAAATTAAAAAAAAAAAGTTTCAGAAGATACCTCATTATTGCTTTGTCTACTGCAGATACAATGAATTAAGCTTGTAAAATCTTAAGCTAATTATCCATCTGAGTCCATGATGCTTTCTTCAGCTCATCAACTCCTCAAGAGCACTGAATTCTGGTCTTGGCATTTCTACAGGTTATTGGAACAAGTCTCATAAACTCTGTGGACCTAAGATTCTCATTTGTAGAATAGAATAAAACTTTCTGCTCAGGAGTAATTCAAGAACAAAAAAATAATGTAAATAAGTAATATAGATGAAAGCTTCAGAAACTAAGATACCAGGGAGAATATATAAATCCTAGGCATGGATTTCAGTATAGTCAAGTCTTTTCATTCTTTGACTAACACCTTTTATTACATAAAAAAATCCCAACTAAGATATTGCTTTTCTTTTTTTCCTAAATTTTATGTTCACTTTGCTTAAATTCCATGTCCCCTGGATATGAGGACATAACATTATTCACTGTGTATATATTTCTACGTTAATAATTTTTCAATCCTCATCTTTAGTTTTGTTGCATAATTCATTGTATCAACACATGGTCAAGCTGACTTAGTCACGAAGTTGACCCAAACCATCAGTCAGACTGCCTCTAATTTTTCAAACACTAAATCAATGAGTGATAATTATCATCTGGAAAGTTTCAGTGCTTACGCAGTGGCAAAGCCAAGCAATATGCAGAATGTATGCTTTGGAGAGCAGCCCAGATCCTCATTCTTATCTCAATACTACGGGTGAGGTGAACGTGGGCAAAATAGTTAACATCTCAGGGTTATTGTGAGGTTGGATTTGGTGTATATACAGAGCAGGATCCGGCCCTGTAGAGACAGGTAATACACAGCAGCTGCCACAGGCCTATATGGTAAGTCTCCATGGGCAACAGTGACATTTGCTATGTCTGAAACCGGAAATCTTACTCCATGTTCACTGACAGAGTCTACTTCACGTACTTTCATGATATGACAAGAAAGAAAATAGAACACCTTCAGTTACCAAACATAAAAAAGGTGAGATGTCTCCAGATTCCTATGAAGGAATGTTCTCTTTAACACTCACTGTTCAGCACTAAAATGAAATGTCTACTTTAAAAAAACTAGGACCCAATTTTTTTGAAATTGTGTAACTTTTCTACTAGCGATAATTTCGGACTGGAGAGATCATACGTATTGTATTTGGGTTTTAACTTCAATTAAATGGATAATGGTATACGGAAGTTGAGAGAGAAACCAGGATGCTAGTTATCTTGAAAACTACCATGGCTTTAAAGCTACCAATTCTGTAAAGAAAACATGCTTTAAAATTTTATTATTTATTTATTTATTTATTTATTTATATTTAGAGAGAGAGTGTGTGCATGAATGAGGGAGGGGCAGAGTAAGAGGGAGAGCGAGAGAATCCCAAGCAGTCTCCACACTGTCAGTGCACAGAGCCCTACATAGGGCTCTAACTCATGAACCATGTGATTATGACCTGGGCCAAAACCAAGAGTTGGATGCCTAACCAGTTGAGCCACCCAGGCACCCCAGAAAACATATGCTTTCAGATCTGCTAAGAAAATTAAGAATACTTTAGCTTGCTTGCACATTTTTCTGCAAAATAATATTTTAAGTTTTAGGCACTCGAAAGGCAGAAAACTCTGTCATGGGTTCAATTTAAAAATTTGGTACTACTTTCCACTAAAAAATTTTTTTTAATAATGTGAATGGGTAAATGCCTTATTTTCAATCTGTGCTTAAAGACAAGAAGTAGGTAATTTTCCTTATTCTTGTCTGTATTCTCTTCTGCTCAAGTACCAGCCATTTTTAGTGCAACATCCAAATCCAGTGAGATCGACATTCTGGGCTGTAAGGCATTTGTTAGGAGGCCCTCTGCTTACTGACCTGGCGATCATAATTGATTTGAGTTTCTTGCTCAATATCAGAGTCCAACTCTGGCACATCAGATAAATCCGAATCAGACTCTTCACTGTAAGAATCAGTGCCACCTTCTGCAGAAACACAACCCATGAGAAACAAGCAAAAGTTCTGAGACCCAAAATAGCTTATACATTTATTTAAAATATTTTCTTTCTTCTAGCAAAGTAAATTAAAAAAATCAATATAGCTTAGTTTTCCTTTGATGTAGGTTCTTAAAATGTCTCCCCCCCCCCCACCATCCCTTCCATCTTTTGGTTAAGTTCAGCACATCATCTCACCCCTTACAGTAGCATTAACAGACCTGGGCAATTCTCCCCCACCCCTCCCCAGCAGACAGAACTCATTGCCACACTTCTGTAACAAATCTTTGTGTTTTAAATCTTGCTTTGAAAAGGGCCAGAGAGAGAGAGAGAGAGAGAGAGAGAAAGAAAGAAAGAAAGAAAGAAAGAAAGAAAGAAAGAAAGAAAGAAAGGGAAAGAACGAAACAGAGAGAGAGAGAAAGAAAAGGCAAGGCCAGGGGAACGTTTTACCAAAATGAAGGCTGAAATAAAGGGAAATCTAACCACTTAGTTCTTAGCCTTTGCCACATCTACCAAGTGGCAGTAATTGCCAGGGTCAAAACCCCTGCAGAAACTGTCCCAATGAAAACATTTCCTCATATGGTTTCAAATTTTATTACCTGATTACTCCTGCTGGCATGACAGTAAATTAAAAGACTACACATCCAGTGAACTAGAAGACTTCAGTCCCAACTGTGGACCATTCTTTGAACTTCACTCTGGAGCCAACTCCTAAGGTCACTCTGTCCCTCTGTCCCCCTGCAGCCTGAGTAGACCCACCACAGTTATAGTTGTCCTAAGGAGGCTGAGGTAGATTTGTTCCTGACATTCTCAAAGGCTAATTCTTCATGTAAACCTTTGATCTTCAACTGGCATCTGGTATAAACAAAATCTTTTGAAGGAAATTAACCAACTAATTCACATATAACTCAAAAGTTTTGTTTTTACTTTTAATTTTAAATTTTATTATAGGGATGAATTTTTCAAAAATCGCTTTAACTCTTTATGTCCAGGAGAGATGTTATAACATTCTTTGAAATTTTTATTGCCAAAAAAAAAAAAAAAAAGCTTGAAAAATTATAATTGGTTTTACCCTGGGGTGCAGTTTCCAGCAGACCGTTGCTGACACCTTCTGGAATAAATCTCCACTGGAAAACTGAGTGGTCAGCCCCTCCTGTGCTCAATACCCACTGAAAGTCATGGGACCAGCGGACATTTGTGACATGTGCAGAATGGCCCACATACTTTCTAAATTTGGCTCCTGAAAAGATATTTTGGAGAGATTAGTAATACAAAAAATACAATTCATTGATTAAAATATTACATTCTGATTCATGCTGAAAAGTGAAATCTTTAAATACATTAGAAAACATAATTTTCAGTATTATATATCTTAACAAGCAAAGCCTCCAAAAATTATCTCAATTATTCCACTATGGATTAAGCTAAAAATGGCCTTAAAATTTAAGTCCTGCAGTTGAAGACACATCTGAACCTTTTCCAGATAATGCCTACTGCTTCACTGATTCTGCAACTAAAATGCTTAAGAATGATTATCTTACACATTCTTATTTAAATACAAGATAAGACAGGTGGTCCTTTGCAATAGGGAAACAGAGAATCATTCTGTGGGAAAAAAAAAAAAACAGTCAAATTACTGTTCAGGGTCATGTGGATGTAGAGCTGGAAGAATTAAATTTGGTTCCCTGATTGCTTTACTTAGTAAACACCATCCCCAAGGTCACGAATGCAGAAGAAAAGCTATTTGCACTTATGGTTGTAGCTGAACTACTGCAGTAAAGTATCCGGTATGTAGTTGGTACACGGCAGCATGAAGGAAGTCAGGGAAGTAAGCAGGGTCCATGCTATCGTGTGGAGGCCTCATACTCCAAAGGCTACGGGAGATTTCAGGGGCCGGCAATCCTCCTTCAGAAATCATTCTACCTATTGCAGGCCCTGTAATGGAGCCTCTTTAATGGGGGAGAAAGCAACCTGTTCAACTAAAACATGTTTAAAATTCAAATACCCATTGGAGAGGTAATGATTTAAAGTTACATGAAGGTGGGGCGCCTGGGTGGCTCAGTCGATAAAGTGTCCAACTTCAGCTCAGGTCATGATCTCACAGCTTGTGAGTTCGAGCCCTGAGTCAGGATCTGTGCTGACAGACAGCTCAGAGCCTGGAGCCTGCTTTGGATTCTGTGTCTCCCTCTCTCTGCGTCTCCCTCCCTCCCTCTCTCTCTCTCTCTCTCTCTCAAAAATAAATAAACATTAAAAAATATTAAAAAAATAAAGTTATATGAAGGTGAAAATGACCATGCTATTTAAAATATACCACCAAGCTGCCCGATTTGAGCGCTCCTGCTACTGTTTGCTTTTGTTTCCTTCATAGCCTTTCTCACCAGATGTGTTTACATTTTGTTTATTGACTGTGTCCCTTTAGTAGAACAAAAGCTCCATGAGGACAGGGATTTGTGCTTGTTTTACTCACTGATGTATCTCCAGCCTCTAGAATAGCACGTAACAAATATTTATTGAATACATGAAAACCACATCCATCTCTTCCCAGGCTTTCCTTAGGACAGTGTCACTTTTTAAGGCCTCTCTTTATTCTCTGAACTACAGGGAAGGCTCTTATCTCTCTGCTGGTGCTCTCTCCCACGGCTTTACGTACTGTCAATATGCCTTCAATTGCTGAACATTCATTCTTCAGCTCTCAATTCTCCCTGGACTGCAGATGGCCTGTGTGCCATGTCTACTTGGATATCTAACAGGCGCCTCAAACTTATCATGGACAGCACAGACCAAGGAGTGCCCCTTACCCTTCTCTTCTCTTTTATCCCCATGTCTGTCTGTTTGTCTGTCTGTCTGTTTGTCTCTCTCTCTCTCTCTCACACACACACACACCTTTTTCCTTGCTCATTTTCCCATCTTCATAAGTGGTGTCATCATCCACCCCCACTGCTCATGCCCAAAACTCATCCTTGGCTCTTTGCCTCTATTCCCACATCCAAATCCATCAGCAATACCTTCAGCTCTACCTTGACACTGTTTCCTAACCTCATGCACCTGTATTCACATCTGTTCCTAATACCTTTGTCCAAGCCACAAAATCTCTCACCTGGACTTATGTGAAAATCTCTCTACTTGGAGCCTTCACTTCCCTAATTCATCCCACATGCTATCAAAGTGGTCTTTTAACAACTTACATGGGTCATGTCACTCCTCCATTTTAAATCTTCAATAGTTTCCTACCACACTTAAAAGAAGACCCAAATTTTTCACAATGGCTACAAGGCCTTTGTGACATAGTCCCCACTGTCCTCTGCAGCCTCTGAGTACACAATGCTCCCCTCATTCACCATGCTGTGGCCACCTTGACCTTTCTGTTTCTGTACTGCCTCAAGCTCATTCAAGCTCTACTGGAGGCCAATGCTTTTTCCTTCAAGGCCCAGACCTTATGCAACTCATGTCTTACAACATCCAGGACATTTTTCTTGGGAGTTCTTCAAGGAGTGTGTATGTGTGTGTGTGTGTGTGTGTGTGTGTGTGTGTGTGTGTGTGTGCGTGTGTGTATGTGTGTGTGCGTGTGCACGTTTGTGTGAAGGATTAATGGGGCAGCAGCACAGAGGTAAAACAGGAGATCCTCAGCCTTGAGTCTTCCTTTGGAGAAGGGGTGGTAAGACACGGCAAATGTCAATGAGCTAGGCTTTGGATTTTTACCTCATGGAAGTGTCTGTGCGATGATGGTTAAACAGAATGTAGTCTAAGCGACACCAGGGAAAATGATCAGGATTGATACTAGTTGTATGAAAAGATTTGAAAACTGTCAAAACGAAATGAGAAAAATTGGTTTGACCATGTAAAAATAATAACCATTGTAGTCATTTTCATTAACTGCAGAACATTTACGTCTCAATACTATGCAGCAGAATCCTATACACAAGTAATTGTAAATGTGTCGATGAACTTGGTTGAGAGTTTGATTTAATCACAGAGAACTATAATATTTGCTCAGTCTCTACAGTTCTCATGGTCACTAGCCCCTTCTCATATTTGGCTGTTTACAGGTTCAAAAGTTGGGGGACTACCCACCACTGATACCCTGGGCTACAGGGAGACAAGAGCCACCAATTGTCACCATTCCCTTCAACAATCCCCCTTTAGAAACTTCCCTGCCAGTAGTTCTGGCACAGAAAGGCCACAAAAGCCTGAATGGCTCTGAGACAAATTGCAAGATTTATAAACCACTTGCCATGAAGAGTAGAACAAGTAAATTTGCTATGAGAATACAAATAGTTCCACAGATTGCTGAGGTGGGTTTTATTATTCCCATGATACCATCACTCAGCAGTCAACCTCCCTTACTCTGCAGGTGTCTCCTGGGTTCCATCATCCTCAGGGTCAGTTTACCCATCAGGGGGTCTTGTTTGGACAGGCAGCACTATTCATCGCCTCCCACCCCCCTTTCCCCATTCTTATCAATACATTCAGGATCTCCATTTCTAGACCCAAATCCACTCTACAAGGCTTGGGAATATGCAGGAAATAACAATTCTGGGTGAGTTACCTTCTTTCCTAGTCTTCACATGTGAGGCCAACAGTATTGTTTCTGGCCTCAGGGATGTATGTTTCTTCTCAGTTCCCAGACCGGTTGCCTAACTCACGTTCTGCAAGTACATTACTCAATCCAACAGGACACACCCTATTACTCAAAAAGCCCGTTAGGGAGAGGAGAGTGTGAATTAGGCACGGGAGGTAATTTTGTGCCTCAAGCATTTTAAACTGATGGCCATGCTGTCAAGCGTAAATGATGGTTTGCTGTGCGTTTTATGTTCAATTCTCTACCATAACTGTTGGTGCTTCAAAACTGCCAGTTAGCCGAAAATGACTTTCTGATTACATTTTTCCATCCCTTCCCTTTCTTAATTTAAAAATTGTTCAAGTGAATGAATTTTCAAGCAATAACACCTCCCTGATGATTACTTTCCAAACATCTGATTTTCAGGGTGCTAGTGGGGAGACTCAGAAAAGCCTGTGTATGGGCTTTGTCTAAACTTTTTAAGGAAGAAGAAGACAGGGTCATTACACGGTTAACTCAGTCACATTCCACAAAGTCTAAAGGTGCAACAAAAATTAAAGCGACAACATTTTAACAACAGTAAGACAAAACAACAAAATGTGAGAGGAGGAAGAGTTCTTTTGAACCGATCTTCACTCTCAAAAATTTCACCAGTTATGTAAATTGGGTTTGCAAAATAAGCACTACAACAAGCAGTCCACGAATTGTGTTATCACCAGAGTATTCACTTTTAGATTTTATCTAAAAAGATTTTGCTTTGCTTTCCATGTATAAGCACAATTAGCAGTGAAGCCTAAGAGAATTTTAATTACAATATTTTAATGTAATATGTGATTTAAATTATGAGTATTTATTCACATAAATAAAAACAAAACAAACTATGATTTGGTTAAAATGTAAAACATGAAGCTTATGAATTACAAACTGGTTAGTAATAACTGAACAAATTCTGCCTTAAATTAGTAATTTTAGAATATCAAATAGTCTGGTTTACACTGTGTACACCTTCTAGATTAAATATTTATTCAATGAAATGTCTCTTTTGGCCTTACCTTTCTTGAGACAAGGAAATTTAAACAATTTAACCAGTCCAAAATCATCTCCAGACACCAGCACTGAGCTGTTGTAATTTGCATCCACCGAATTGATGTCAGTGACATCGGTGTATTTAGGCCAAATTCCACTCACTTCGGGGCCTTTCACACATGTCCAGGAGGCCCAGGGAATCCCTTTGATTTCTTCTTTACTTGTTAAAGGCTTCCCAGCTGAAAATAATCAATACATGGCAACATAATGTTACATTTATTTATTTATTTATTTATTTATAAAATTTTTTAACGTCTATTTATTTCTGAGACAGAGAGAGACAGAGCATGAACGGGGGAGGGTCAGAGAGAAGGAGACACAGAATCCTAAACAGGCTCCAGGCTCCGAGCTGTCAGCACAGAGCCCGACGTGGGGCTCGAACTCAGGGACCGCGAGATCATGACCTGGGCTGAAGTCAGCCGCTTAACCGACTGAGCCACCCAGGCGCCCCCATAATGTTACATTTAAATAAAAAGCATATTCTAATTTGTTTTATTCCTTTTCCATATAGAGGTCTATATGGAGGGTTTAAAAAAAAAAACTTCCATAAATCAAGGAAACTGTAGATTCTAATCTCTTTACCAAATTTATGATTTTTTTCTTCTTCCAGCAGGGTTTAAAGAAAGTGTATGATCAAAACTCAGATACAGAGACAAGAAAGAAAATGATCACTGTACTCAATGTAATATCTGAAACTACTATACAGCTCGTATGCTTTGATTATTGAAAGTCATATTGACTTTTGGGGCACCTGGGTGGCGCAGTCGGTTAGGCGTCGGACTTCAGCCAAGTCACGATCTCGCGGTCCGTGAGTTCGAGCCCCGCGTCGGGCTCTGGGCTGATGGCTCAGAGCCTGGAGCCTGTTTCCGATTCTGTGTCTCCCTCTCTCTCTGCCCCTCCCCCGTTCATGCTCTGTCTCTGTCCCAAAAATAAATAAACGCTGAAAAAAAAATTAAAAAAAAAAAAAAAGAAAGTCATATTGACTTTTATGCAATCGTATGTTATCACATTTAGTCACCAACATTTTGCCTGATTTCTAAGAAGTTTATTCTGGACTTCTACCTTTCATAATTCAAGGAACCATAGAAGTGATTTTTTAAAATTTAGGCTCAAAAAATTAGTATGAAAAGTTAATGGATTTTAAATTTAAAAGCATTAGACAATGAAAACTGTAAGTGGTTGGGGAAAATAGCCTTGACAGTGTGCTCGATATGTTCTCAAATGTGTGGCAACTCCCGGCTTGTACCAAAAGCAAGTGAGGGATGTCCCCAGAGGGCATGCAAAGGCAGAACCACACTGATACAGAAATGCTTGGGAAAATGTCCAGCCATACACAGTTTTAAAATTTAAAATCAAGACAATTTAGTGTACCACCTCAGAATTTCTTCTTCAAAAATAAATATTTTCAAATAAAGAATCATCTGTGAGAGTAGGTGCTCTTATGCGTTACTGGTGCACTGCCAAACTGGCATGCAGAAATTCTGGACTGGAACAGCATGACATAAAAATTCATTAAGATGACCATAAAATGAGAGAGTTGACAGAACATAGTCCTTGACCCAGCATTCCCCCTTTGGAGAATATCGTCCAAGGAAGTGACTCAGAAGAGAAAATCCCACCTGTACCAAGATATTTCGAGATGCACGGTCTGTACCAGCAAAGAAACAGGAAATAAGCCTAAATGCTCACTAACGGGAGAATGAGATAGCAAATTGTGATATTATCACTAAGAGGATTTTACTTTGTTACTGCAGGTGAGAAATGTGTATTCCTTAATTTTTCACATACAGAAAATATATATGAAATAATTTCAAGCAAAGAAAGTAGACACACAGAAATATGTTCCTAGTAATGGTGTGCTAATGATTTGACAGGGCAGAGAACTCTAAATAGCTAAAGTTACATTAGATGGTATATATTATTTTACATATAAATTAATTATTCAATAAAAATTTTAAGATGAAGTATAATTACTTGAGGACAAGATTCATGTTAAATATTATACTTTTCCACTTACATTAAAAAAATCATTAGTCACAGATTACAATACAGAAAGTTGTCTTTTATTTCTACCATTTTAGTATTACAAACTAAATGTTACTGAATGTTATCAAAGTCTGATGAATCTCTTCTAAAAGAGACAGCGAAGGCCACAAATAGAAATTGTGTTTTTTAAATCCTAATTAGCATATTTCACCAAATAATACCTTAAGGGCTTCCAATTATGAAGAACACAGATTTTGGAATAAAATCATCATAGTAAATAAGGACTGTGATCCTCAAATATTTAGCGTTTTTTTTAGTATTTTTCTAGGCTATTTTTCCTTTCACTTATCTTTAGGCATTCTTTTAATTTCTAAGTATATATCTTTTGCCCATTATAACCATTTCAAGTATTTAAGTCCAGTCTGCGCCTCATGTTTTCATGATCTCTTTCACTGTGCAGTATTTTTTAAAATTTTAACGTGTTCCAATTTAGTTATCTTTTCTTTGGGAGTGTGAGATTTGGGGGCTCGTGTTTCTGAAAACATTCCTTGCCCTGAGGTCATGATGACATTCTCATACATTTGCTGACTCTGGTTCGAAGTTTTGATTTTCACCACCATCCAGGGCCTGAGTGACTCACATGGCATTTTGTAGAACAGGCGTTCTCCCGCGCCGTCATTGGTCTGCAAGTATTTGCTATCCAAAGACCAGTCAATGTGTGTGATGAAACTAAGTGACTTGCTGCATTCTCCAATTTTCTTATACCGCTGGGCAACGGCATACACGTCCACTGGGCCATCATTGGATCCCACCGCGAGGTAAGAGCCATCTGGAGAAAATTTCATTTCATGAATGACTTCTTTTCGATCTTTGATATGAACCACTTCTGTCATATCTCTATAAGAATAAAAACCAGCAATAAAAAGTGATAAGCAGCAAATCTAGAAATAGGAACCCCAAGCCATGTTTTAAAATTTGTATGTCAGAGAAAAAAATGTTTCAAAAGAGAGAGAACACGTATAAGAATTAAAGGAATAACTTTTGGGGAAAAATATAAAACTATTTACTTAGTTTCTGGCCAATTTAGGCAAAATTAACCAACATTTTAAATACTATCTGGGCTTCCAAAGTAAAAACAAAACAAAACAAAATTTAATGAAATGCATATTTGCTTTCATGTTTAATTGTTATTTTCCCCTAAAACTTTGTGCTTCAAAAATTTGGGGTTTGTAAAATTGTTTTCAAAACATGCCCTGGAGAAAGGTAAACGTCCACCAAGGGTAGCATAAACATCAACCATCTTTTTTATACTTTAAGATCAAGTAACCAGCGGGTGTGAAGCTTGCTTACTGTTGCAAAAAAGAGCAAGTCCAAAAAGCATGAGAGCAAAATTTCTTTTTAAATATTAAATTCTTATGTCATTATTTAATTGTTACCAGGAAAGTCAACAATGCATACGTCATGTCACCGGAATATTTTGTATCCTTTCCGATCAGGTTCTGGTAAGAAATGCTGCCTGCATTTGAAAGCTGCCACCATGAGACAGAATTGTGGCTAGCAGTCTCCTAGGCCAGCACCGAAGACTTCACCCACTGCCAACACAATCAGTGCATACATGATGGCAAATATGTGCTTCTATGTGGTAATTCCCCTCACCAGCTATCACTTATTAATAGCAATATATTATATAATATAATGTTTACTCTAATATCATCAAATAGGTTTTTTTGGATTTTTGTTTGTTTTGGCTTGGGAAATCCATCAAAAAGAAAAGAAAATCTGGTAACTGGCCATCTTTCCATACCATCACTAAGCAGAGAAAGAAAACGTTGCCCATCAACCCAGCATTAAGTTATGTGTGGTTGGTAAGGAGAATTTAGTGTAATAAACTGTGCCAAGATCATTTTTCAAACCTATATAGAATTTTCTATGTGCAAAACATGCAGTATCTAATTTACAGCTGCATTTTCTTTCTGTAATCACAAATTGTAGAAGCCTTAAAAAACAACCAGTGTTATTTAGAGAAATTACAAATGTGGGTCATAATTTTTGTCCTGTAAATATAGCATGTTAATAAATACGAAATATTCCATTTTATTTTTCATTATAGGTGGAAGAAATTTTGACTCAAGCTCACCTCTAAAAATCTGGCACTGCTAGAGACTGCTTTCTCATTTCTTTCTCTTTTCTTGGCTTCCTATAAGCCCAAACCCCTTTGGGACCAGATGAGCTTAGGAGTTCATTATTCAGTGGATTTTAGAAAGGTTCATATACAATATATTATGTAATACCCTCCACAGGAGCTAGGGCAACACCCCATATTAAAAACATTAATATTTTTGTAGTGAATCACATTATAGAGAATTATTCCTACTAGGAGATTAATAGCCAATAAACAGTCTCAGATCAGTTCATTGGGTCAAGACGTGCTGTCAAAGAAGTTGCCAAAGAACGGTGGATTTTCAGAGTGTTTGGATTTGGGAATTACAGATCCGGTGACTGAATCTAGAATGTTCCTACTTGAAAGAATAAATGCATTTTTCCTAAAGTCCAGGCATACATTGTGACCAGGAGAACCAGTTTAACACAAGAGCATTTCTGATATCATTTTCCCTAGCAGCACGTGCCTGACTCGGAGAACAATGAAAGAGCCGTCCTTCATGCCCAGGGCCAGCTGAGATCCATCCGGGCTGAAGGCCACACTGCGAACTGCTTCCTCCATGTTACAGCGGGCGATCAAGGCATGGTCAGCCAGGCTCCATAGCCTAAGCACAAGGACAAAGTAAAAACAAAACCAGTTTCTCAGCCATCAGCCAGCCCTAGGCTGGAAGGCTGTTCACCACTCTGATGATGATGACAACACAGGACGCACTAATTTCATACTAGTGTCCTTCCTCACGGCATGTCTGGCAATCTAAGAAGGTGTTTAGATTATCAATGGGTCATTTGCACCATTTGAAATCCCCAGCAAGAACTCTAAGACCAGAAAACCATTTCCAAAGATTTTGAGATTAATCAAAGACATTTTAAACACTACTTCACACAACATCTTGCTATTCTCTTTGGAAATTAAACATTGTTCTTTATTTATACCAAGAATTGTTAATAACATTTAGAGAAAAAGAAGTACTACTAGGTGTTATTGTTAGTTTGTTTAAAATAATATGAGTGTCCTTCTAATAACTGTGTTATTTAAGTGCAGATAAATGGAAACACACATTACATTTATTGGCCTCCCTGGCAAGAAAGAGTATCTGTCTACAGTCACCTGCTGTCATGCTTCACAAGGCCTCTGGGTGTCCCACTGCAGATAGATCCACTCACCCTGGTTGAGGCAGATACTTTAAGTGCCCCCGGCTGATGGGCACAGCTACTGCTGGAGAAATGGAGGTCAAGGGGCACGTGCCCCTAACACAGTTTGCAGCAGCTCCTGGAACACCTAATCCAGGCACCTCAGACTGAGTGAACGTGGACTAGGTATTTGAAGATGCAAATAAGCATTTAAATGTCAGTTGTGATTGGGTAACTGACCTCTATCTGTTAGTACTCTTAAGACAGGCTTCTCTTAACATACAAACATTAGTATCTGCCAGAGGGGACAGAGAATCTCGAGTTCCGCCATAGGGAAGCAAGAATAAGTCACATGTGGTGCAGTTTCTCTAAATGCATTCTGCCATCAGGACGGACGGGGGCATGCTCCTTAAAATGGAGAGTTGCACAGTGAAGAGCTTACTGATCCCTTAGGCAGCCTGCACTGTTCAGCCTAAAGCTCATGGTAGTCTTTCAATACCTCGTCCATTATTCATAATCTCATGCTGCTTTTAGCCTTGTACTATTTTAAGCAATGTAAGCTTTGCTTTACTAGCATGCAGAAACCATCACTCCCCAGTAGACTGTACCATCCTATAAAGTCACTAAGCTGATCTTGCTCAAGAAATTAGGAGTCAGACCCTTCTTAAATTTCAATACTCTGTGTAAAATAACATTTGTCATTTGAGCCAAATTAATGGTTAAGAGGAATAAGACAAATTCTGACAGCCAGGGCTCCTTGGAGATGTTTGCAATTTTGAGACTCAACTAATTTGTCAAAATACAAAAGCCAAAGACTTTCTTGAAATCATTTCTACCTGGATAAATATAAATTGAGTATCTCAGGTGTTTGAGTAAGTTGGTGGTAACATTTTGCCTGTTCGGGGAAAGCTCAGAGTAAAGGAAGGAAAAGGAAGAGAGGAGAAAGTTGGGTAAAGAGAAACTTAAGCCAAATAAACATTGATGCCACATGGAGACACACTGTTTCACTGATCTTTAGATTGATGGGGCTTCAGGGCCTGGTAAAGATCACAAAATGGATTTACTTTTAAAATTATACCTCAGTAATGAGCACACCGTGTCTTGATCAGATTCACAGACATACAGAGTAAGAGCAAGGGAGAAGCAGGAACCTGCTTCTAGTCTACAAAATTCTAATTTAGCTACTAGAGCCCAGAAGCAGTAATCAATCCACAGACTGATGGACCAGCCTCTCCCTCCCACCGGCATACACTCTTTCTGGCCTGCTTGTCATCGGGCACATTTAAAGGTCAGCAGTAAATACAAAAATATTGAAGTCAGTGTAACAAACTTCATCACACACTTCTAAACCCTGTATTCAGTCCTTCAACAGTCACAAGGACATCAGAGGTGTCCTCGTATTGCTCATTTTATGCAATGCTGTGCTCTCAAAGAATAACAAATGATCCACAGCAAGAATCCTTGAGGCCCTAATAAAATTGCCTATTTTCTCAGGAACCAGCACTTTCCTTTGATTTGAGGACAATGTCCAAAATTCCATTCGAGAATTTGCAAAGAAAGAACTGTTTACTCCCATACTGAAGGCAACTCTGAAAATCAGAACTTAAGTTCTTTTGAAGACGAGTTCATGAATTCACCAGTGGAGATGAAGGTAGGAGAAAACGGAAATGCCGTGTGCAGTCCCCTGCAGATGACCCAGCATATGAGGGGCAAATATGATCTTAGCACAGATGAATGCGCTGAGCTCTTATCTTTGATTGAAAGAGAACTGGGAGCCTATCTAACCAGGAGCAGTGTATTTTCACTCACTCAGAGCACTTTCACAACTTAAGATACAGCCAGAGAAAGGCGGCAACAACAAAATGCTAAGAAGCCAAGTGTGGTTGGACTCAGTGTCTCAACGTTCTGTTTGGAACACGTGTGGTTCTACACTGTGGTTTATCCGTCTCTTGCGTAACAAGCAAATTTGGGCACAGTGACTCTGTTGTCCCAAGGCAGTCAGTGCCTGACGACCACCAATGCCAAGGCCTCACCTGACAGAGCGATCGTCACTTCCCGTCACAGCCAGGGGCTTCTTGGGGTGCAGGGCCAGAGCCCAGAGCTCCCCCTCACAGTGGCCTTGCAGGATCAGCATTGGCTTGTCTCGTTCGCGCACAATCACTTCAAATATCTCACTGTCCTGGGTCCCTGCTAGGAGGCGGTCTGCTTTCCAGCACACGCTCCGGATGGAGAGGCCTGAGGGAAACAAGCAATTAAATAAAATGAAAGCGTGTATTCACACCATTGACGAAGAAAGGAAAACACCTACATGTCCTTTCACCAGGATAGCATCTGATGTAACACATCTTAAAAACTCCTGAAGGAGAAACACCAACACCACACACCATCCTGTATTATTTACCATTTCCTTACCCCTCACCATCTGGATTTTACACATGAGTAGTCACTCTTTCCCGTCTAACTTAGGATAACCATGTGTTTTAATATCAGGATGCATGTGAAATACTACATCTTAAAATGAGTATTAGAAGAAATAGGTCTTTATGAAAACCTATCCCTTTTTGAAATAATGTACTTCTGATTTACTACGGAAAAGTTAACAGTCACTTCAGTCTTTAGGATGCTAACACTGTATTAAAAGTTAAAAACAAAAAAAATTTTAATGTTTAGTTTTAGTTTTGAGAGAGAGAGTGAGAGAAAGAGAGAGAGCGCGCGCGCACGCAAACGAGCATGCACCAGTGGGGGAGGGGCAGAGAGAGAGGGAGACACAGAAGCAGGCCCCAGGCTCTGAGCTGTCAGCACAGAGCCCCATGCGGGGCTCAAACTCATGAGCTGCGAGATCATAACATGAGCCAAAGTCGGACAGCTTCACCGACTGAGCCACCCAGGCGCCCCTAACGCTATGTTAAAATTCTATGTGGGTGATACTCCAGAATGGCTAATTGTCATATCGGGTAAGTTTACTATGATCAGAACCTAGACTCATTTTGCTGGATAAACAGATGTACCATGTCCCAGAAATATGCAAATGAAACTGATTTCAGTCTCAAAATACCATCAAACATTTGTCAGTGAAGATGTTATTCTTCCCCCACTTAACATTTTATACAATGCTCCCTAAAGGCACAGTACTTCTTTGAAACACAATCTTCCACCTCAGGAGTACTTCATACTCTCCAGGCAGGTCTTTATTTGTCTGTCTGATTTGTGATCTCTTGAACTTCTTGTCAGTTTTGTTGCTTACCAGGTACATTATTTATTCACTTCGTGAGTTTTCTCAGGTCTGAATTAGAAATACAGATAGAATCCCACTTTCATAAGTACTGTAAATAAGGCAGGGATGTGGTAAGCTTTGAGATCTGAGTCATCTCCCTAGTGGGCTTCCTGTCTTCGGCGTAGAAAGTACCAGAAGTCAGAGCACAGGTCTTTAGTCCTGCTCTACACTTGATTGGCCAGACACACCAGGAGGGTCCCTTTCTCTCTGGAGACCAGTTTTCTCTGCATTAAATGCAGACTATAATTAAGGAGACCATGTAATTTATCACCCAAATTGTGACTACTTTGAAAGTCAAATTAAATTTACATACTTCAAAAATGTTTATTTTTTTCCCCAAGAAAGCAGCTTTACCATGTTAAAATAAAAAGTTCTATCAAAATATTTTCAAAGATAAAATTATAGTGACACTGCATTACAAAATGAAAAGTCCAGAACAGAGGAACGAATAGGCAGGGCACAGAGGATTTCCAAGGCCCTGAAACTCTTCACTATCATGGTAGATACATGTTACTATGCATGTAATATACACAGAATATACAACACTGAATGTGAACTCTAATGCCAACTACGGGCTTTGAGTGATGATGCATCAATGTAGCTTCTCCCATGGTAACAAAGGTACCACTCAGGTGGGGGGTGTGGATAGTCAGGGAGGCAGGGCATATATGGTGGCAGGGGGGATAGGAGAAATCTCTATACCTTCCATTTAATTTTGCTGTGAACCTGAAGCTGCTCTAAAAAAATTAAGTCCATAAAAAAAAATCCAGGACAAATGCTAAGGCAAATGGGATGCTGGGACAAAAGAAGGGTTAACTGGGGGTATATGGGCACACTTTGTAATCCTCACTTTAATCAACTCACAGTGGCCTTAAAAGGATCCGATGAGATGATGCATTTATTTACAAAAAAAAGTATTTTTTTTTTGATGCACAAGCCTATTTTTACACGCAGTAACTCTCTTTACCCCTTGCTCTGAATGCAGTTACATGTCTTGAAATGGAAGGAGAAAGCACACTGGCAGATTTATTATTCCTGCTTTTAGTAAGTAGAGATACCTTGGCAACGGTTAGTTCAGGGTCATTCAAAACCTTTCTAGCAAACATCGTGACAGGCTTTCAAGGTTGGGACGGACAGGGACGTGGTGAAAGCAGCCAGAGGAAGACTGCAGAATGACAGGGCAGGCAGCTTAGCGGCAGGCAACTCTGCCTTATAGCAACAATCTCTTTGCCCTGTCCCTTTCTTGTCCTTATCTCTTTCTCACGCTTTTCTAGAGGTTTAGTTACCACTCTCTAATTAACACAGTCCAGTTTCTTCCAGGAGGGGAGTCAATTTGTCTCCCTGCTGTCCTCCCAGCAGATCCTCCCTTAGGATCACCTATGATTTTATTCCAGAAGAGGTACAACACCTTGTTCTTCAGAAAACAGGAAGTAAAGAGGGATGTTAATTCCACTGCAGTATCAGTAAAATCTCAAATAATTTACTTTTTATTATATTTATTGTCCGTTTCATCTCACTAATGTCTGTGAATACAGGAGTTTTCTCAGTTTTATACACTGTTGTATCCTCAGTACCTACCACAGTGTTTGACATGTAGTACATGCTCAATGAAAATGGCTGAATAAAATAAAACATTAGAATCACAAACATTTCTTGTGTCCTTGGAGATAACCAAGAAATAAAAGAATATCCTCATCCTCAATAAAACCATTTAAAGGAGGGATATATTGACTCACTCATTCAATCAATTTTTATTAAGTGCCTACCATGTGCCCAAGACCAGAGCTTGAACAGTGAACAAGCCAGCCCATGCCCTATTGGAAATTACATTCTAAAGAGGAGCAAGACATTTGTAAGCAGGCATTTATACACCAAAAATCAATTAAAATGATATATACAAGGTTCTGGTTCAAGATGGAATGTAGGAGGATCCTGAATTCACCTCCTCCCATGGTCACACCTAATCGGCAGCTACATATGGGACAATTCCCTCTGAAAGAAATCCAAAAGTACTTGAACAATTCCTATGTATCAGGCAAACAACAAAACACAAACACACACACACACACACACACACACACACACACACACACACACACAAACCCTCACATCTAAATGAGTAGGGTAGGCTCAGACATAATCTCAATATAAATCTCACCCTTGGGCCAGTAACCCACGATTGGGAAGCTCACAACTATGAGCTTCTTTCTGAGAAGTGGAGGGTTTGAACACCACATCCGGCACTCCACTACTTAAGACCTGCACCTGAGAGATGAACCCCCCAAATACCTAGTTTTGAAAGCCTATAGGGCTTGTATCCACAAGATCCACAAGGTTATAGCAAACTGAAAAACAGTGGGTTCACTGTGCCTATATTCCAGGGTCTGGTGCAGGGGTACCTGAAATACCCAGTCTTTCTGTGAAACAGGCCTATTTGCTTAAAGTTTCAGTCTGAAGGGCAGGCATGTAACCTAACACACACCTAGAGGCCTACTGAAATACTCCACAAAGACTGAAGAGGCTGGAGGGTGCCACATAGACACTTCCCTCTGCCTTCCAGCTTGCTGTTATCTCCAGGAAAGATACAAGGGGCACCATGGTTTTTGTGGCTACTGCCCAAGGGTCACCCCTTGAACTTTCTGCCAGCAGTGCCTACATTCACTGATCCTACAGGACTGTAACAAATGGAAAAACAGTTTTATTTTTTATCCTTCACTCAGATTTAATAATTATCAAAATTTCCCACATAAGCCTCTATTTCTTTTTTCTTTTAAAAGCAAATTTCAGTAATCATATAATTTTGTACCTCCCATACTTTAGTTGGCATCTCTAATAATATGGACCTTTGATATAGCCATAGTACCATAACCATACTTGACAAAATTTGGTATCGTCCAGTTCACAATAAAATTTCCCTTATTATCGGGGCGCCTGGGTGGCGCAGTCGGTTGAGCGTCCGACTTCAGCCAGGTCACGATCTCGCGGTCCGTGAGTTCAAGCCCCGCGTCAGGCTCTGGGCTGATGGCTCAGAGCCTGGAGCCTGTTTCCGATTCTGGGTCTCCCTCTCTCTCTGCCCCTCCCCCGTTCATGCTCTGTCTCTCTCTGTCCCAAAAATAAATAAACGTTGAAAAAAAAAATTAAAAAAAAAATTTCCCTTATTATCTATAAAATATATTTTACTTTTATTTATTTTTCCTTTTCAAACTTTTATGTAAATCCTAGTTAGTTAACATACAGTGCAATATTAGGTTCAGGAGAATTCAGTGATTCATCACTTACATACAACACCCAGAAGCAAATGGAGAAATCTGAGAAACCATTCTTTTCAACGTTTATTTATTTTTGGGGACAGAGAGAGACAGAGCATGAACGGGGGAGGGGCAGAGAGAGAGGGAGACACAGAATCGGAAACAGGCTCCAGGCTCTGAGCCATCAGCCCAGAGCCTGACGCGGGGCTCGAACTCACGGCCGCGAGATTGTGACCTGGCTGAAGTCGGACGCTTAACCGACTGCACCACCCAGGCGCCCCCTGAGAAACCATTCTTAATCAACTACCCCCTAAGGCAGCAGAGACAAAGAAGACTGAGGTACCATCTTTCTGTAGAAAAGGCCAATTACTTTACCTTCAAAGCTGTGGCCTGAAGGGCCAACTTCTAAATAAATACACATCTAGAGGTTGAATGCAATCCTCTCCAGAGATCAGGGAGGCCGGTGGGTACCATCTTTACACTGTCACTCTGTCCTACCAGGTCATCAGTGTCTCCAAGAAAGGAGCTTATGCACAGGTCTGGGACCCCAGCTTTTGTACCTTGCCCTCAAAGGATACATCTCTTGATAACCTGGTTCTGAAAGCCACCAGAGCTTGTGTTCACAGATGCAATGGCAGGGTAAGCAAACAAACAAAAAATTCTTAACTAGCTATCACCCCAGGGCTCAGTGTAGAGAGAACAAACAAAAATGC